CGCGGCCGGTCTGCCGGCATGGATCAACTGGCGTGCAATTCTCATCTCCATAACAGCTATAGTTTGTTTAAGAGAGCTATCAGGGAGTGGGCGAACTGTCTCAATGTCGTCGGCTGTTTAAATGTTTAAACAGCTAACATAGTTCCTTGTGAAATCTGCGCAGCCATAACGGATCAGGGTTAGTGAGCTCACAAGATTGATGCTGGGAGAGGTTACGGTCCTCCGAAGATCAAAATATTTTAGTAAAGGCCTGCTTGTCAGATTCTTTTTTTTTTCACGTTCACTAGCGCGCAAAAGCTTCTGCCTAGCCTAGGCTGAATAGAAACGACTAATGTTTAAAATATGCTTGAGAATTAACTCAGTGTTTTGGCTTGCTTTCAAGAAAATCTGAGTGGAGTGTTCTGACGGATTTAGACAAGTAGAAAATGTTACGCCTACATCCTTCATAACCGTGGGACAATTCGGTCGTGACCGCCTATGCTTTGTTTATTCTGATTGACGTCGCCAACAAGCAAAATAAGTGTTTGCGCTAGGAAAAAGAACAGCGCCATGTGCAGCACCACTGGGCATAGGCCCGATGATCCCTTTTTAGACCTCGAGCATGATGTCGCCATCTGATGATTTATATCGATGCGCAAATTTCAAAAAGTCGGCATGCATAAAAGTCGTACCGTACTGAAAGCAGTCAGAAACATCGTTGAAAGAAAGGTGAAATAAGAGTGGGCCAAGTACGATTGACTCCTTACACGCATAAGGTTCGACTTCTTAAAATTTACCATTTAAAATCCTGTGCGAACATCCAAATAGGAGGCTCTTCAATTCAGAAGGGTACTACTTATGCCGAAAAGGAGAAGTTTCAGGAGGAGGAGGAGGATGTCACTGTCAGCACGATCAAAAGCCTTAGTGAAATTCAAATAAACATTTTAAGTGAAACACCGCTGTCTCGAGATTGCACAGCATAATCAAAAATGGAAGTGGGCAGGTGTCAGAAGACCTGATGAGCCAATTTTGGTAGGTTGTTCTCTATTAGCTACTGCATCCACTTATCTTTCATCTGGAAGTGTACTATTATTCAGTATTTAAAAGGGAGAGAGGCAGAGCCTTTGAAAACCCTATTTACAGATAGATGCTCACAGATCGTGCATGTGGTTCAAAGCTTTACATACATTATATAAATCGTTGTTATCTACCAAATGTATGACCAGCAAGTAAAGGAAGATCAAGCCTTCTTTTAAATGCGTCAACGCTTTCAGCGAGAACAAGTGAGGAAGGACGTTTCTTCCAGTCTGCAATGACCCGGTGGGAGAAGAAGTTGGCCCGCACTTCTAGTTTGGCATGGTGTTTCTTCAGTTTGAACGGATGACCACGTAGATGTATCGTTTGTGCGAATTCAAAGAAGTCAGCCATTTGAAGAGCACAGTCTACTCCCCTGGCGACTTTAAACACCACGATCATATCTCCCTGTATTGCCTATAATAGAGAGGGAAAAGATCGAGCCTATCTAGACGACCTTCATATGGGAGGCTTCCTACGCTGCTGACTACCTTAGTCGCCCTTCTTCGGACTTTCTCAAACACTGCGTAATCTTTCTTCATCCAGGGGCACTACGCATGACCTTAAGTCCGCAAATGACGTAGACCGGTGTGTTTGGCTATATGCAGAATTAATAATTCCCTCCATAAAATACGAAAGGTTTTCCTATCAATTTCAAGGTGAAACATCTTACACGGAACGAAAAGGAAAAATGCCCTTTGCATCAGCTCTAACAATGCTTACCGAGTCGCCATCTTATAGAAGACCATGCTACTGACGATAATGTAGAGTAAACGCCGCTGATGTAAAATCTACATATTTATTAGGTACTGTTGTTAAAGCTGAACTCTTTTGCGATTCTTGGAGTTCAGGGTGAAAGCTTTCTTCCCTTAATAAAATGACTTAACGTGTAATGTGTACGATTACGTCCACAGGGCAAAAGATATGGTTTTGAGGGTGGAACTATTTCAAGATCGAATGGTTGGAAGTGGAGTAACCAATGTTTCATAAAAAATCGTTCAAGTTGTCAACCATCAACTAACCGTTGATGGCTAACGAGCATATAACTGTTACATTCGGCTGAACATGTTTAAACTTGTCTACGTCAATCTGCAGTGAAATTCTGTCTGACAGCCAAACCATTCTACCAAACGTTTGTCCTCTCCCCTGTCTCCACCCCCATTCGCCGAAATCCCTTCTTCCAAGAATGCTGGCCGCCCTCGCCTTTTTATAAAGACTCCCTGTCCAAAGTTAAGTGTCTGCGCACACACAACTCTCTCTGAGTTGAAGCCTCTTGAGCCATTGCCAATCGAATGACCACGCGCGCCCAAAACAGTTGCGGCTACTGAAGTGCCACATGGAAACGTCACCCCGTAGCCGACTTCTTTCCGAGTACCTGTTCGGGCATGAACAACTTGTACCTAACGCTACCTGGAGGTAACCTACATACGGCAATCCAAACTCGACCTATGTAAACAGCTGGAGCATGCAATGAACCTAAATCTGCCGTGGTCACATTGGCTCCCTGTTTACACAGTACCCCTCCAAACTTCTTACTTTAGACGTCTTTTGCCCCGTTTCCGCGCTGCCCATAACGTTTTAACTTTCTTACTTTATTGTTTAGCCTCTTGGCCATTTCTTATGACTTTGTCGTTAGTATCAATTTTTCTGTATGAATTCAATTTGTATTTTCTTTTGCCTGATTCACCTCATGCAGTGAGAGGCAGCAAATGAAGAGCTCTCTCGAAATGTCATGAATCCAATAAATCTTGCTGTTTTTGCCATCTGAAAGTTTGCACCTGGGAAACCTTGCTTTAAAGTGGATGAGCTAAAACTCTGCCTTATCGATTTGGCTCCGCACGGAATAGCAGTATGTGAAGCCTGGCTGGCCAGTGAAGTAGCATTATCTGAGTGCGCAATATATCGAAGAGACAGATATCGGTGAGTTAGCTTGACCGGTACCGAAGGCTCATACGAGAGGAGCGAGAGAAGACGAACGATCACGAGCAGTGCGTATTCACACAAAGCAAGTTAGAACAAGTCTTTCTCACACAAAGGCTGAATGCATTTAAGGGACCGCGAGAGGGATATAGTCCGAGGCAATGGACCAATACGAATTGATCAGACATGGCTGGCCGGCAGTGAGGTAGTTCGCGACGCCTTTGTGTGTGCTGATTTATCATGGGAATAGTGGCATTCTCAGAATACTCTGACAATGGTTCGAGTATAACATTAAAAAAAAACACTCACGTGAAGGATGTTACAGCGAAGTCCATATGAACTCTTTTTCACGTTTACTTAACGTCTGGCCATGGCACGGATGGTACTTTTAGCCTTTTTTGTCCACATAAACCACAAGTTCAGACGAAAGATTCCTCATTGTCATCAGTTCCCAGCTAATATACGTACCTTCGGGCTAGTTGTTTCATATGGTCCATTCCCCAGTGCCCGGCATTAAATGCATTTCAAACCACTTGTAGAGTACGAATGAGATCCCCACATTACCGTAACACACAATGCATTTTTCAGTTATTTACCAATTTTCCTTTCGGTTCCGGAAAGGCTTTATGGCTGAGTGTATATTGCCTTCATTCGGCCAAACACCCCGAACAAATTCCTTTACACAGCGCAATAGTGGGTCCGCTGTGGTAAAAGAAAAACAATCCAAATTTTTTTAACGTGGCCTCATCCGATTTTAACTAAATGAAGATTAGATTGCTCGTTTCGAAAAAGATATAGTTTAATCTGTTATTGCTTATATTAAGATTCTCCTATAGCACATCGTATAAAAATTAAATGATTTGGTTCTGTCGTATTATAACGCATAGCATTCTTTTTTTCGATATCAGGGTACCTCCGATTTTGCCATAATTCGGAATAATACACTTAAAAATACTGAATTTAACAGGCTGTTTTGCCTGCTGAAGGGCTTTCTCGGATCAAATCCATTCATTAGTTCAAAATAATTTTGCCAAACTGTCAATTCCAATTTCAATCACGACTATGGATGAATAACCTCACCTGGAGAACGGGAAGAAAAATGTGCATAGTTAAGGGCCCACAAATTAGGTGCACTAAATTAATATTATTGATTAACCCTGTGTCATCTGATCCACTGAAAACCAACGACTTGCTCTGTGTGAGATACGCTGGATTAAAGTAATTCTTTAATGCTGTGTGGTGGTGGTGGTGGTGGTGGCGCGAAGCTCACACAGACGCTACTGAATATGGCCCAGCTTGACAGATCTCATTGAAGTGCAGACATAGACGCTACTGGTATTCATCACATGAGCACCTGCTACGATAGCTGCTTCGCCACGCGCTATCGATTTCATTTCGCCATCGTGTGGTGCGTTCTTGGCAAGAGACGGTCATAAAGCAGGAACAGATAAGCGGCGCTTTCAGCAGCTAGGGCTACAGAAGACTAGTTTAGTGAGTAAACGTGATCTTTCGACAAATTGAGCACCAGATCAATTGATTTATTGTTCTGAGCTCTCGAACTCTTACCAGGAATCATCTTCAGAGATGAGAAAGCAACCAAAAAAGAAGG